CCAGGAACTGGATAAGGTTTTTTGACTTTAAAGTTAGAAGTAAGTTCGCATGGACCGGGGATGTACTCTTCGATACGTAGCTCCACCAGTGTTTTGTCACCGGTCGGCTGCGATGAGGAGGCTTTTTGTTTTTGGGGGACGGTCTTTGATGTTTTTTCCATTGATATATGAGGTTAAAGCAGAAGAAGGCAGAATTTGTGTTTTAGTAAGAGATTGGCAAGCGGAAACCTGCAAAGTTGATGAACTTAAAGAGAATAGAAGAGCTTTTGAAGATTAGAAGAAGTTTGAAAGTAAAATTTTAGAAGATTATGAAGATGGTCTATTTATAATAGCCACTTGAATGGTTTGAAAGCACTAGTGGCCGACCATCCACTGGCATTAATTAATGACCTTGGGAACTGTGCAGATGCGATACTTCAATCGCTTCCGTCGCTTATGTCAAGATGTTGATGTCATAATTGATCAAGGTATGAAGTCAAAGTCTTAAATTCATTTCTTCTCATTACACTCCAAAAACCAAGAGGACTATCTATATGCGGTCAAAATCGGGCATGTCCGATTTCATAGGCACGAGGAGCTTCCTCGAGAGTAAGCTCGTAATCGGCCAGGATCGAGCTCAATGGCAGAGTATGGAGCATGAAGATCGAAGTGCTCGATGAAGATCGAGACTGAGCATGACCGACTTCGAGTAAGGCTGTCACGACCCGGAATTCACTAGTCATGATGGCACCTAACCCAACCCGCTAGGTAAGCCAATTAATGATTACCCATTTTCAATCAACTTAATAAAACAATTTAACAAATGAGTTATCTAAATCTTATACATCCCCAAGGACTGGTAGAACAAATCATGAACTTCTAAGAATAGAATATAAAAGTTGATATGAAGTAAATACATCTTCTGTTTGAAAAGTATATAAACAGAGTTTTTATAAATCTAAGGCTACCATGAACAAGAGGCATCTCCAACAGGAACGCAGGTACATCTTCAATCCAGGCAACCATAGAGCACAGCAACAACAACAGCTAACATTTGTACGCAATGTGCACAAGTGTAATATCAGTACAACCGACTCCATGTACTGAGTAAGTATTTTGTCTAACCTCGTCGAAGTAGTGACGAGGCTTTGGTTAAAAGATGCTCATTGATAAAACCTGTAATGTAACTAACAATAGAACTATACTACAGTACAATAGAGTAGAGCACACAAAACGATTATACAAAGCAATAACGGAGTACTAAAAGAAAACACAATTCAACAGGTATCAAAATCTCACCCCAATCCTTTCCTGAGAGCGAAAGCCAATAAATCACAACAATCACCTCAAAACTTTCATAATGTGAGAAATATACTCAAAACGTCAAATTCAACGGCACGACAACATCCTTCGTGCATTTATCTCATCCTCACTAATTATGCGTAAAGCAGTACCAACCAAATGACAGAAATGCCGATAACAGAAATAACAGAGTGGGAAATACGCAAATAACTATGGAGGATGAGAATATACATGAGAACATCAGTAACAGACTGAACAGAAAACATATAGGTAATGACAATCATTAGGAAAAAGGAATGTAACTTCGACTAACTAGCAAGGTGAAGGCATGAAGACAAATATGACAAATAAGGAAGCGGACTCATGATCATTATAAGTCAGCAAGTAGGGACATGAACGATTAGTATGGAAGAAGACCTACACTTAAGTGCAACAAAACAGATGGCATGGATGAAATCATAACAGCAAGAAATAGGCATGATATAACATGACAACAAAGGTGATAGAGGAAAAAGACAGAACAGTAACGGCATATCACATAAGAACCATGAACACGACAATAACAATTCCAGGTAAATACATGAAGGTATCTGCAAGAAAGAAATATCACAACATAATGCATGTCTCTCGTCCTCACTTGCACGGAAACGCCCTTCGTGCCATGAACACACCATAACATGAAAGCGTAATAATATAAATACAATGGCACGGCATCACCCTTCGTACTTTTACTCACATAACATGGCACGACATCACCCTTCGTTCTTTTACTCACAATGATATGGCACGGCATCACCCTTCGTGCTTTTACTCTCAATAATATGGCACGACATCACCCTTTGTGCTTTAACTCTCAAATAATATAGCACTGCATCACCCTTCGTGCTTTAACTCTCAAATAATATGGCACGTAATCACCCTTCATGCTTTACACTCTCCCTCACATGATAATGTATAAACAAAGGCACGGCATCACCCTTCGTGCTTTACACTCTTCCTTACCAAGCATATGTATATCAATGACAAACAAGGCAGGAAGCGTAAATAACGTCAAGGAGAGTGTTTAAACGAATATTTCAAATGAATCCCAATCACAACTTTCCAAGCCAACAATAATTCAATAAACCCACAGGAACCTTATAATTTAAGTATTCCAACAAATTTCACAATTGATCTACAACACAAGTATAAAATCTAGTATCTCAAGAATATCGGCCATAGCAATGTATCAATGATTATGCATATTGATGACCAAATTAAACACACTAATGTATTCTCAGAATTTTCATCAAATTTGATCAAGTTATAATAAGCTAAGTCTTAGTTTCTAACATTTAATACTATGTTGTTAGTATATAGGATCCAAGTAAGGCATGAGGCAAGAAGATCACGTGATTCTACAAAATACAATTTATAACATATTTTACCCTCGAGCATAGTTACCCTAGCACATGCATATATGCTCGTCACCTCATATATGTATCACCCTCGCATGTAGAAAATAATGTCAAATAGTAGGAAAATTTCCTCAACAAAGTTAGGCAAAACATTTACCTCAAAGAAGGCAAACCGATACTCAAAAATGAACTCCTCGGGTGGTATGACCTCCGGGCGGCTCACATCTAATCAAAATAACTTCAAAAGCACAAATAAAACTCATAAGAGACTACTCTGGATCATAAAGTCTCAATCTTTAACAAAGTCTAAAAATCGACCCAAAAGTCAACCCCTGGGCCCGCACCTCGAAACCCGATAAATTTTACAAAATACGACTACCCATTCAAGTACGAGTCGAACCATACTAGTTTCACTCAAACCCGACTCCAATTCGATGTTTAAAACTCAAAAATTCATATTATGAACTTTAGGCCAAACCTCCAATTTCCTCTATAAAATTCATAATCCAATTACCAAAAACGAGGGTAGATTCGTGATATAAGATAAATAATGAGTAGAGAACATTTACCCTAGTCCACGAGAAGAAAACAAAAGCTTCCCAGAATATCCTTCGCAAACGCGAGAAACGGGACATGAACGCGATGAACAAGGGACAGGACTTACGCGGACGCGTACGAGACACGCGAACGCGAAGAGGAAAATGATCACCAGTTCCCGAGGCCTGGTTTGCACTTCGCGAACGCGACATATGGAATGCGAACGCGAAGAAGGAGATGGCAGAACTTCGCGAGCGCGAGAGGGTAGTTGCGAACGCGAAGAGAAAATATTCCACCCTCCAAAATAACACTACGCGAACACGAGATCAAGGACACAAACTCGATGAAGGAAAACTAGATGATAGATACAGTAGTTCAAAATAGGAGGAAAATGACCCGTAGCCCACCCGGACCCCGGGACCCCGTCCCAACATACCAACAAGTCCCATAACATAACACGGACCTACTCGAGGCCTCAAAACACACAAAACAACATTGGAGCGACGAATCACACCTCAATTTGAATTCAATGAACTTGAAACTTCAAACTTCCACAACCGATGCTGAAACCTATCAAATCATGTCCGATTGACCTCAAATTTTGCACACAAGTCACATTTGACATTACGAACCTGCTTCAACTTTCGGAATCGGATTCCGACCCTGATATCAAAAGGTCCACTTTCGGTCAAACTTGTCAAAAGCCTTCAAATTTCTAACTTTTGCCAAACGACTCCAAAATGACCTACGGACTTCCAAATCCATTTCCGAACGCACTCCCAATACCAGAATCACCATACAAGCTATTCTCAGACTCGGAATCCCAAACGGGCATCGATAAAATTAATGCACTTCAATCTAAATATGATGAAATTCTTCCAAAATGCTAACTTCCAGAATAGGCGCCGAAATTCTCCCGGGTTATCCAAAACCCGATCCGAACATACGCCCAAGTCCGAAGTCATCATACGAACCTGCTGGAACCTTCAAACCCCGATTCCGAGATCGTTTACCTAAAAATCCAATCTTAGTCAATTCTTCCAACTTAGAGCTTAAATCTTGAAGTGCATCATTCCAAATCGATTCCGGATAACTTGAAAACCAACACTGACGATTTACGCAAGTCATAATACATCATGCGGAGATGCTTGAGCTCTCAAAACACCGAAAGAAGTGCAGATTCTCAAAACGACCAGTCGAATCGTTATAGAGGCATAATAACGGAATGACAAGATATTGTGAGTCCGTTAAACTTATCAGGCGTTTGAACATAAAAATTGTAGTTTTTGAAAAAAAAAGTATTTGAAGTTAAGTTGAAAAATGATATTTAAAATTTAAAATTATATTTGGACATTCATTTTACTTGAAAAAAATTATATTTTTGTGAGTGGGGAAAATAATATTTCTGATTTTTTTGGAAAAGTGATTTTGAAAAATTCATTTTTCAAAAAATTGTAAAAACTTTACAAAATTTCATGGATAATCATATTTTTAAAAATTTTATGAATTTGTTTTATATGGACATGTGCCAATTGTCAATGATATCAAGTTCGCCATGGATGACATAGTCGTGCCTTACAATTCACTAGAACTTTCTTCCTTTTCCTCCCTAGCCAATGGGGTCAATAAAATTCATAAATTCCAAGTCTTCGTTAGGTCCCACCATGTGACTTCACAAAATTCCCAAAGTGTTGGGAGTGTGTAGCTTTTACTTTGGTTGAAACTTAACGGTATAAATAGGGCTTCTCATTTGTATATTTTTGCATCGAGTAGTTCTTGGAAAACCACAAAAAAAGGAGAGTCGAAATCCAAAAGAGCTATATATACTTAAAAAGAATTTATAGTCTCATCAATTGTTGCTAGATTTTTCACCATGGTTGCTTCATTCCATAGCTTTACTTTCACTATTGTTGCTTGTGCACTTGTCTTCTGTGTGCAAGTCACACTAGGTCAGTTGTCCTTGCAAAGAAAGCCATTTTTCACAATTATTTTTTATTGTCTACATAATCAGAGTCGGAGCTAGAAGGTTACGTACGAGTTTGGTCAAATCTAGTAGCTCTAATTCAAATCATGTTTGTATTAAGAAATTTGTTAAATATGTACAAAAATTAAACTCAGTTACTAATACCTGATGTCATTATCTTAGAAATAGAACTCATAAAGTTCAAATCTTTGCTCCGCCTTTATGCAGTAATCAATGTTTTTCTAATGTTTTGAAATACTAAACATGTGTATTTTGTTACAAAGTGTGCATTAAATATTGTGTGATAATACGCAGGGAGCATAACATGTGAGAATCTAAACAAGGACTCGTGTGCATTTGCGATATCAAGTACTGGGAAGCGTTGCGCGTTAGAGAAACATCTCCGAAGGAGTGGTGAAGAAGTATATACATGTAAGACGTCCGAAATTGAGGCTGATAAGCTCAAAGACTGGATTGAAACCGACCAGTGTATTCAGGCTTGCGGTGTTGATAGGAATACCCTCGGAATTTCTTCTGATTCTCTCCTCGAGTGCCACTTTACCCAGAAGTTGTGCTCCCCTCAGTGCTACAAACATTGCCCTAATATTATTGATCTCTACTTCAACCTTGCTGCTGGCGAAGGTACTTGTTAAAAATTGCAGTATTTAATTATAAATACTATTTTCTCTGTTTCAATTTTAGTTAACGTAGACTGACTTGACATAAAGTTTAAGGAAAAAAAAATAACACTTATGAAATATGTGTTCCTAAAACTTAAGTGGCAAAATCTTTGTGGGGTCATGATATTTGTGTGGCTATAAAAGTGGGTAAAAAAAATTTAAAGTTGAATTATTTCCAGATATAAAAATGTGTTATTCTTTTTCGAACGGACTAGTAAGGAAAGTATGTCATTTAAATTAAAACTGAGGGAGTAGTTTATATAGTAGACTCGCGCTCGCCGGTTTCTCCTTGCAAAAGCAGATCTGAAGCAATCACGGTTTGAGTTATCCGTCATTAAGAATCCTCACAAGAGGGATGAATTGCCTTGTTTCCATAGCTTAAAGATACCCGCTTCATATCATAGTAGAAAAATAGCATGTCTTTTCTAACACCATAATGGTATATCCATATGTTATAAGTAGGATTTAAAAAGGAGGAGACAAGCTAATGTGTAAATTGGCAAAGTAGCACGTGGATCCGACCCAATAATATCTTTTAACATAAATAAACTTTAATGAATAAATATGTATAATATTCTTTCTCTAACAGTTCAAAGTTCAAAGTTTTAGATGAGATAGATTCATAAAATCCGAAATGCAAAATAAGTTTTGTCATCCCTTAATCATGGATATGTGCTTGATTTGGCAGGTATATATCTTCCCAGGTTGTGTGAAGAACAAGGCGGAAATGCACGCCGTGGAATGGTGGAGATCAAACGCTCGGGAATAGTCGCACCAGCACCGGAATTGGGACCCGAGCCCGTAAATTTCATGATTACTCCGACAATAGCTCCAGCTTTATAAGTTGAATTAGCTTAACTATATAAGAGTGTGAAATGGACATGTTCTAATTATTATTCTATTGTATGAAATAAAGATTGGGTCGCCCAGTTACCATATAGTTTTGTAACTTTGATCTACGCCATGTAACTGTTCGTGTTAAGTCGTGAAAGCCTAAGGTGTGGTTATTTTGGTCTTTAATTTGAGAATAATATTACTATTATATGTTTCGTTCGATCTGGCTAGAAAGAGAAATCAGAAGAAACACCTCTTGATAATTGGATTAGAACTAGAAGATGTGTTGGCCTTATAGATTCAAAGCATTCCCTCAGCTCAGCTTGTTGTAATGGTTACTTTCCTTTACGATATATAAATCATATAGTTCCATTACATGATAGCTAGTTTTCTTTGAGTCATGCTACGCAATATCAATACAATGGTATGAATCTCTCGTTTCTTCTTAGACTAGTTACGATTAGCGCGGGCTGTGCCCGGGCCCAACAACCATAGTCAAAGGCAATATTTTCATGTGGCGCTTAATTTTGCGTCACCCGTTGAATTTATACCCACTTTTTAGAAAAAATTTAATTGGTACTGAATTTTTAGAAACTTCAGATACATACATTTTTCTTCTTCTTTTTAGTTACAAAATGAGTTTCTTAAATTTATTGTTGTTACGATAATTTGATGATCGAGATTTGTTATTTGTGATATTTGAAAGTTATATTTCAAATTCAAGCTCATTTAAAGTAGATTTTGGCATTGAATCGTGTATTGGATTGTTGAAAATCAAAAAACAAGTTTATGTTTCAGAATTTAAGATTTGAAATTTGAAATTGCATTCAATGGATTTAACTACTTAAAATTTGAATTTCTAAAGTTGCATTTCAAAGATAGAAAAATTTCATATTTGATTTCTGAAGTTGGATTAAAGAGATTGAATTACTTCAGATACGAGTAGATAATTGACTCAAACTTCAAATAATATTTATTCAGATTTTCAAGTGTTGCATATATGGAATTCCCATTAATTGATGATCATTCTCTATACACAGCTTTACGAATGAAAGCTCTCAATAATATAATCAAACATTATCATAAACTCATAAATGTTGCTAATATTAGTTTGTATTTTCGTCTCATATTATTTAACTTAAATACGGATTAGAAGGTAAAATAATTTTTGCCTAATACATACTTTGCCCTCTTAACTTGTATGTAAATTCCTTTGACACATCGGAATTTTACATGTAATATTCTCACCAATCCATTTTCAATCAAATTAATTTTATTGGAGAAAAATTTGACTTTTATAATTAATGACCGTTATATGAAGATGTTGTTATAGAGAGATTTGCATATATATTACTGTTACATTTATTGATTGAAGAGGCTATACTCTTTATTCATTAGACAAATCCACCTCCCAAACAATGGGTGCGACTTACATACAATCACATACCCTCTAATTCAACTACTCTATTCGTTTCAGTTTATATGATATTATTTTTAAAGATTTTCGATTAAAATATTTGATATTATTTTATCTTATATTACTTTCGCAACTTTAAGAATATCATATCTTAATATATAGTAAAGTTTAAACGATTATGTTATGTATTCTATTAAAAAGGCTTTTCAACCATAATTTATAATACTCTCTTCCATATTCTATAATACTTCATAAATATACAAGTTAAGCTGAAAGTTTTAACTTTATGTCTAATCAAATATCGTCACAAAAATAAAACTAAAGGAGAATTACATGATTGGAAAATTTCAAAATGATATATTTACATTAAGTGCAAACCTATGTTCAAAAAGGAAAAAAAGAAAGATAATGAGTGTGGAGTTACTTTATATCCATTAATAACTTAATATTAAATGTGCATTTTTGATCAATTTCTTTAGGATAACTAACTATAGCAAATCGTAGTAAAACTGCTCAGATCCTTTGGCCTAAAACACCTCGATTATATTTTTAACAAATTTATGGCATGGGTTTTTTTATATCAATTCAATGAATATGTGAGACATGTTTCAACGTACAGTATTATTATTACTATTATCAAAATGTAGTTTATTAATATATATTTTTACTTTATTTTATCATTTAACTAAAGTAAATTCATGATTTGAGTAAATACCTAGTACATGTAATCTTTTATCATTTAAGTATCTCTTTCTTTGCTTCCATATCATGGGCAAAATTGATATGCCACTAAAAGGTGACAAAGGGGTGCACCCAACTTATCCATAAACTTGTGATGAATAATTATGTAAACGCATGATGATGGACACTTTTGACCTAATAAAATTTCATAATACTTGTATAATTATCCAGTCAATTTAACTTATATATAGTGCCAGTAATAGTTTCTGGAATTTGGCCTTATATAAGTCGTAAAGGTTTACGTCTAAAATTATGATGTAATATTAAAAATTTTCAAGCTAGGATGTGAGATTTAGAAATTAGCGTTTAAGGCTTGCAAAAATTTTGTTTTACATTTATAGTTTGTATAGCTTGTATTTCTGAAGGACCCGTAAATATTATTTTTGATGTTGACGGCCAAATGTTTTCCTTTGTATTCCTTTATCTTCAATTTTTTAGTTTTTAGTTTTAAAAATTCCTCTTTATGTATTTTTATTTTATTTGCTTTTGTAGTTTTACCTTCTTCTTTTTTTTTTTTTTGTAA